TCATTCTGGCCAAGGGTTCTGTCTGACAGATACGTTAACCGGCCATTACAATTGTCCACACACGCCCCTCTCGCTGTTGCGGGTGAACTAGGGGCTTCCCCCAGTGTGTTGTGCCCGGCCACAGCAATTGACACTTTTCACAGACTCAGGCAATACGAAAGCTTTATCAGTTTTCATTAACTATGGTGAGAGAGTTTTTGGCCAGGGCCTATCTGACCAGACTCTCACATTGCATGGTGGACACTGTTACTGCAGCATTTCAGCTGGCCCCGGCTCTGAACAAATTAAGGGAATCGTTCACAAACATTGGCACATTCTAAGATCCGATGACAGTATTGGTAATGTGCTTTCGGACCCTCCATTGGTCGTATTCTTGCGGGGCAGAAATCTCAGAGATCAATTGGTAAACTCTGATTTACTACCCCTAAATATCCCTCCAAAACGTCTATTTGCGCCTCTACCGGATGGAAACTACAAGTGTAATGGCTGCGCTCAATGCAATGGCACTTACAAATGTAGATCCTTCAAACACCCCCAAACAGGGAAACAGATCCCAATCAAAGGTGTTATCACATGCTCCACTAAGGCAGTTATTTATCTTATAACTTGTCCTTGTGGTAAAAATTATGTGGGTAAAACAAAACGCGAATTAAAAGTACGAATCTCTGAGCATCGTAGCACCATCAGCTGCAAAAACTCGACATACCCAGTCGTAGCCCACTTTTTGGAAGTGAACCACTCGATTTTGTCCCTATGTTATATCGGCATCGAACATGTCACCCTCCCTAGGAGAGGGGGTGACCTCGACAACTTATTGTTAAAATGAGAGGCTGCCTGGATCTCCCTTCGGTCTCAACGTAGACTTTGATTTGAAGCCATTCTTCTGATTTTGCTATTCATTGTAAATGTTTGTGGGCATATGTAGCCAAGTTGTATCTATGATTGTATGCTATCCATTCATGTTTTTGTATGTTCTGTTTATCTGTGAATTAACCACACCCGGCCATGATTACAGACACCTGTGTGTCCTTTTGTAACAGTTTTGCTTCCGTCCCTCTCCTCGCCCCTAACTGGGCTTGAACCAGGGACCCTCTGCACACATTGCCAACAGTCACCCTCGAAGCAACGTTACCCGTCGCTCCACAAAAGCCCTGGCCCTTGCAGAGCAAGGGAAACAACTACTTCAAGGTCTCAGAGCGAGCAACGTCACTGATTGAAACGCTACTAGCACGCTCCGCTAACTAGCTAGCCTTTTCACACCGGTTACACTTTGACACTATATAAACTAGAGACCTGCAGTGTTTTTCATTATACCCTGATGAAGACCGCTTGTCTGTCGAAACGTTGGTTATTAGGTTATTAAATTATTGCATCTGAGCTCCTAGAGTATGCAGCTCTCCTTTTCTTTTTCATATGGTGCAGGATTCTCAGAAATTGTATTTTGTCTTTCAGGAACTGAAAGCCTGGGACTTTTGAGACATGATGATCCTCGTCAAGGGCATTTGCTGAAATCACAAAGAGAACCAAGTGGAAGTTGTGCTCTTAATCTTGTAAATATATTGTTTACATTCATAAGCATTACTTATGACATTTATATTAGCAAAAATTTGAATGCATAGATTTTAATTAGTATTTCTTGTAATTCTATACATTTTGTGTTGATTTCTGTTCATTCTTTTGTGCTTTTGTACTTGTCTGATGACTCATTTATTTTTTGGGTACTTTTCACCCCTTTTTCTCCCCAATTGGTAGTTACAGTCTTGTCCCATCGCTGCAACTCCCCTACGGACTTGGGAGAGGCGAAGGTCGAGAGCCATGCGTCCTCCGAAACATGACCCTGCCAAGCCACACTGCTTCTTGACACACTGCTTGCTTAACCCGGAAGCCAGCCGCACCAATGTGTCGGAGGAAACACCGTCCAGCTGGCGATCGAAGTCAGCTTGCAGGTGCCAAGCCCGCCACAAGGAGTCGCTAGAGCGTGATGGGAAAAGGAAGTCCCGGCCGGCCAAACCCTCCCCTAACCCGGATGACGCTGGGCCAATTGTGCGCCGCCTCATGGATCTCCCGGTCACAGCCGGCTGTGACACGGCCTGGGATCGAACCCGGGTCTGTAGTGACACCTTAAGCACTGCAATGCAGTGTGTTAGACCGCCGCGCCACTCGGGAGGCCTTGACTCATCTTTTTATGGGTGTTTCCCAGCAGTTTATTACATTTACATTTACGTCATTTAGCAGACGCTCTTATCCAGAGCGACTTACAGTTAGTGAATACATATTTTTTTTTTATACTGGCCCCCCGTGGGAATCGAACCCACAACCCTGGCGTTGCAAACGCCATGCTCTATCAACTGAGCTACATCCCGGCCGGCCATTCCCTCCCCTACCCTGGACGACGCTGGGCCAATTGTGCGCCGCCCATGAGTCTCCCGGTCGCGGCCGGCTGCGACAGAGCCTGGATTCGAACCAGGATCTCTAGTGACACAGTTAGCACTGCGATGCAGTGCCTTAGACCACTGCGCCACTCAGGAGTACGTTAGTATATTGTATCAGGGGTGGCTTCATGTTCAAGCCCCGTTCTACCACACCTGATTCTACTAATCAGCTTGTTAGTAGAAACATGTATGGTAGAACAGGGCTTGAACAAAGGCTTGCATACCCTGTGGGTCCTTAAGAGCAGGCTGGACCAGCCCTGATTAATAAGTACTTGTTCCTAAGTTTGATTATTGTAGGTTTGACTGTAATTTGACTGTAATTTCGCTATCCATTCATGTAATTTTTCTTGTTGTTATAAGTCACTATTTTTACAGGTATTCTAAAGTACATTTCCGTGTAAATAGTTTAGTTATTGTTAATGATTTGTGCGTTTCCAGGAGCTTGCTTGATTGTCTTAATAGTGATCTGGGACGTTATTTTAGTTTCTCCAACATTGGCTTAAATGGGTTTCTGTTTTTTTACTTCCCTCTGGAAAATAGGTATTTCAAAGTAGCATCAAATAAAAACTATCATTGATATTATTTGTTTCCATGTGTCATAATTTTGTGTCTTTACTACACTACAACTTACCTACATTTTGCATTAATGTTCATCAGCAACTCATTGAAGGAGCTCTATGCATTGTTTACCAGTTTTCTGTGACTTTTCCACAGATTAAGGGCCACTATGGCACAACTCAATTTTAGGAACGTGTTCCTAATGTTTGGTATACTCAGTTTATGTTCAATGTAACACTGAACGCTACAAAAAAGGCAAATTTCCATCATTAGTCAGGCTTTTAAACGGACACTAGATGGGGTAGCTGTTCAAAGTGAAATGTTTTCATGAATATGTTTCTCTTTTAATCATGTTCATTTTCTTATAGATCTTATGTAAGCTGCACTGCAATTCAGTTTTATTGCAAACTGCCAAAGTGCTCCATTGTGGCACATGTATTTGTATAAATAAAACCTAGCTATCTAATATCTGGATGTAAGCTGATTTCCAACTCTTAAAGGACAACAATAATAGCAATGACAACCTTGGGGATGTAAACTGTTGTGGATTTAGAAACTACAGGTGCTCCTGAGTAGAATGGACCCCCTTTTACTGCAACATAATGTACAGAAAATTGTGTATGGTGCAATATGTATGTCCAATATGAAAAACCGATTGGATTTAAGCTGATGGGCCACACCATAAGGGCCGCCAAATGAGCAGCGACACTCCTCTGGGTGTAAACTCTGTGGATTTTGAAACTAGAAGTGCTCCTGAGTAGAATGGACCCCATTTTTACTGTGACACAATGTAAAGGAAATTGTGTACTATGGTGCAGTATGTCCATATGAAAAATGTACTGAACATTGTGCAATAGGAATTGGCTAATTAACAGTGGGATTCATAAGTGTTTTCTAAAGATGATTATTATAATTATAATATTATTCATATTGTTATTACTATTATTAATAGTAGCATTATAAATAATGTTTTTTTATTTGTATTACTGTTGTTACCATGATAACTATCTAGTTACCATTACTTTCAATGCTGTCAACAATAATGTAAATGCTATAATATTATTTGTGCTATAAAGGCTATTAACTTTACTTTATTCCTTTTTTCATATTGTTAAACAAAATTTCGACTATTTATATAATTTTTCACCATCTTCAGTATGGGACTTTTATTTTGAAAGAAAATGGCCACCCTCATGGCCTTATTCTTGCTTGGTCTTGCTTATTCTTACTGGTCTAATGGAGATGGACCCGAGGTACACTCCTCGACCACTTACCGGTTTCCGGGTCACGGAGGAGGAGGACGGAAAAGAGAGGACATAGGACGGATTTTTAACCGAACGAGAAACCCCCAAAGATTATCCTATGACGTGCACCCCACCTTGTTTCGGCAGAGATACGTTTGAGGAGATGGGAACTCCATTGAAATCGTATAAATGCCGCGTTAATATACTAGTCGGTACTAGGAAACTCGAACATTCAGACTTTCTGATTCGTTTAACGCGGCACGTGTATAACTACAACCAGTTACCAAGTCGGACATTTCAAAATGTTCTAGTTCCGATTAACACATGAACGCAGCATAACGCCCTTTGTGTGTTAACCATGCGTCGTCAATGGGCCGCGCGCTGCATTCTGGGTGATTCTAGGACAAGGAGCTCTCTCCCTCAAGGAGTGAATGGGACTCAATTGGGCGCTAGCTCAAAAACCCAACATTAGCATGAATAACGTGAACAAGAAGTACAGCATTACAAATGTTTTCCGATATGTGAGATAATTAACTTATTCTCTGTAATATCGTATAGCTTTGAAATCATGACATTACATACTGTCGAGGACAATAGGCAGGTTTCTCGACTCATACCCTGACTTTTAGAAAGGATGGCGTGACGATTATCATAGCAACCGTGTGACGCTCATGACAACCTGAACGCGATTGGTCGACAGTCTGCCGGGCGGAGCGTTACGCGTTTCTCTATCGTTTCTCGCTGGTATTATGTCCTCCTCTAATATATCTGGTTTTGGTCACGTGAAACGATTACGAAGATGGTGGAAGTTTCTTTCTTGAAGTGAAGCCGCAAAAGAACCCAAACAGACAGGGATATTGGGGAAAGTTGCCTGTAACGTCTCGTCTTGAACTTCTTCTGCCCTTGGATTCGGGTAAGCGAAACGACCGAGGTGGAAAGTCCTCAACCACAATATTTTGCGAACTCACACTTCCACTGGGCTAGCCAGCCATGACACGAGCTAGCTAGCTTGTTTTTTTTAGCCAGTCGTGCGATTGTGTGGTAACGATCAGTTGCCAGATGACATTTAACACGTAAACAACAACCCCGTTTTAAAAATATTGAAATCAAACTCTGCATCCCGGAGTAGAATGCAGTATATGTAGCAAACATTTAGTTAGCTATCAGATTGTGGAGTTTCAAGGTTGTCATTTCACTAATTTTGAGACCGAGCTAGCCACTCAGCTAGCTAAGCTAACGTTAGCCTCCTTCCTTGTCAAACAGGTCGTCACTAAGCCTTTTTGTCAATGTCATGCGCGTTGACGATAACATGAAATCCTAATGATGGCAAACAAATTGCAGCTATTATTAGCTGTGTTTATGCTGTCCAGCCCTAATATTGTTATTGAGTAAATGCAGTTGGGGATCTCTTGCTGTCATCCGGTCACATTTGTATCCATAACGGCATACTCTGTCATTTCACCAGCCTGGCCCAGCCACTTTGTTTTGTGAGCTGAGGGGTGGGGCATTGTGGGTTATGATGGGTAAGACGGTAGTACTAAGTTCATAGAGCATTTATATTCTTCAAGAATCAAAGCTCTTCCTTTTTGAATGTGACACTGTAACAATTCCATGTTTTTAAAAGTGAAACATGCCTGTGTGTATATCAGTTGATTTTGTCAGTTACATTTACATTTTCTTCTGGGGTGTAAGCATAATAGCATATGTTATTCACTTTTGAATAGTTTATGGAATATCTGACACTTTAACAGAAACATAATAATTGGCTGATGGTGAGTCATCCTTCCTGGTCTCAGCTGATGAGCTCCTGACTTGTTGTGAGTCATTTAGCTGGCTTGCAAAGCAGTCCATCACTGTGAGTAACACACATCCTTTGTCTGTAGGCCGCAGAATCAGTACTGATCAATTATTAACTCTGGGTATAGCCAAAGTGAAAGTTTATCCAGAGCTCTTTCTCTCATTTGCACAGGGGAGATAGGCGAGGAACATACATTATGCAGAAGGACAGTGAAGTAACCACAAACCAGGAAAGAAGACTAGGCTATGCTTCCTGATGCTACTTTCACAAGTGTAACATTCTCTCATGGCATTTTCCAGAGAGCAAGCATTTCTAAATGACTCATATTGTGAGCTCTTGAGATGTGGTTTCGGAATATATTTAGACCCCTAGACTTTTTCCACATTTGGTTACGTTTCAGCCTTTTTCTAAAATTCATTAAATTGTTTTTTTCCCCTCATCAATCTACACACAATATCCCATAATGACGCAGCAAAAAAAGGTTTTTGTAAATTTTTCGCGAATTTAGTAAAAAACATAAAAACTGAAATCACATTTACATACACTACCAGTCAAAGGTTTGGACACACCTACTCATTCAAGGGATTTTCTTTATTTTTACTATTTTTTACATTGTAGAATAATAGTGAAGACATCGGAAATATGAAATAACACACATGGAATCATGTAGTAACCAAAAACGTGTTAAACAGATCAAAATATATTTTATATTTCAGATTCATCAAATAGCCACCCTTTGCCTTGATGACAGCTTTGCACACTCTTGGCATTCTCTCAACCAGCTTCATGAGGTAGTCACCTGGAATGCATTTCAATTAACAGGTGTGCCTTCTTAAAAGTTAATTTGTGGAATTTCTTTCCTTCTTAATGTGTTTCAACCAATCAGTTGTGTTGTGACAAGGTAGGGGGGTATACAGAAGATAGCCCTATTTGGTAAAAGACCAAGTCCATATTATGGCAAGAACAGCTCAAATAAATAAAGAGAAACGACAGTCCATCATTACTTTAAGACATGAAGGTCAGTCAATATGGAACATTTCAAGAACTTTGAAAGTTTCTTCAAGTGCAGTCGCAAAAACCATCAAGCTCTATAATGAAACTGGCTCTCATGAGGACCGCCACAGGAATGGAAGACCCAGAGTTACCTCTGCTGCAGAGGATAAGTTCATTAGAGTTACCCGCCTCAGAAATTGCAGCCCAAATAAATGCTTCACAGAGTTCAAGTAACAGACACATCTCAACATCAACTGTTCAGAGTGGACTGTGTGAATCAGGCCTTCATAGTCGAATTTCTGCAAAGAAACCACTACTAAAGGACACCAATAATAAGAAGAGACCTGCTTGGGCCAAGAAACACGAGAAATGGACATTAGACAGGTGGAAATTTGTCCTTTGGTCTGGAGTCCAAATGTGAGATTTTTGGTTCCAACCGCTGTGTCTTTGTGAGACGCGTGTGGGTGAATGGATGATGTCCACATGTGTAGTTCCCACCGTAAAGCATGGAGGTGTTATGGTGTGGGGGTGCTTTGCTGGTGACACTGTCTGTAATTTATTTAGAATTCAAGGCACACTTAACCAGCATGGCTACCACATCATTCTGCAGCGATACGCCATCCCATCTGGTTTGGGCTTAGTGGGACTATCATTTGTTTTTCAACAAGACAATGACCCAACACACCTCCAGGCTATGTAAGGGCTATTTTACCAAGAAGGAGAGTGATGGAGTGCTGCATCAGATGACCTGGCCTCCACAATCCCCTGACCTCAACCCAATTGAGATGGTTTGGGATGAGTCGGAAGGCAGAGTGAAGGAAAAGCAGTCAACAAGCGCTCAGCATATGTGGGAACTCCTTCAAGACTGTTGGAAAAGCATTCCAGGTGAAGCTGGTTGAGAGAATGCCAAGAGTGTGCAAAGCTGTCATCAAGGCAAAGGGTGGCTATTTGAAGAATCTCAAATATAAAATATATTTTGATTTGTTTAACACTTTTTTGGTTACTACATGATTCCATATGTGTTATTTCATAGTTTTGATGTCCTCACTATTATTCTACAATGTAGAAAATAGTAAAAATAAAGAAAAACCCTTGAATGAGTAGGTGTGTCCAAACTTTTGACTGGTACTGTAAGTATTCAGACACTTTACTCAGTACTTTGTTGAAGCACCTTTGGCAGCAATTACAGCCTCAACTCTTATTGGGTATGATTCTACAAGCTTGGCACACCTGTATTTGGGGAGTTTTTCCCATTCTCTGCAGATCCTCTCAAGCTCTGTCAGGTTGAATGGGGGCGTTGCTGCACAGCTATTTTCAGGGATGTTAGATCAGGTTCAAGTCCGGGCTCTGGCTGGGCCACTCAAGGACATTTAGAGACTCGTCCCGAAGCCACTCCTGCGTTGTCTTGGATGTGTTTTTAGAGTCGTTGTCCTGTTGGAAGGTGAACCTTCGGCCCAGTCTGAGGTCCTGAGCGCTCTGGAGCAGGTTTTCATCAAGGATCTCTCTGTACTTTGCTCCATTAATCTTTCCTTCGATCCTGACTAGTCTCCCAGTCACTGCCGCTGAAAAACATCCCCACAGCATGATGCTGCTACCATCATGCTTCACCGTAGGGATGGTGCCCGGTATTCTCCAGACGTGACGCTTGGCATTCAGGCCAAAGAGTTCAATCTTGGTTTCATCAGACCAGAGAATCTTGTTTCTCATGGTCTGAGAGTCCTTTAGGTGCCTTTTGGCAAACTCCAAGCGGGCTGTCATGTGCCTTTTACTGAGGAGTGGCTTCCGTCTGGCCACTCTACCATAAAGGCCTGATTGTTACAGAGATGGTTGTCCCTCTGGAAGGTTCTCCCATCTCCACAGAGGAACTCTGGGGCTCTGTCAGTGACCATCGGGTTCTTTGTCACCTCCCTGACCAAGGCCCTTCTCCCCCAATTGCTCAGTTTGGCCGGGCGGCCAGCTCTAGGAAGAGTCTTGGTGGTCCCAAACTTCTTCCATTTAAGAATGATGGAGGCCACTGTTTTCTTGGTGTCCTTCAATGCTGCAAACATTTTTTGGTACCCTTGGCCAGATCTGTTCCTCGAGACAATCCTCTCTCGGAGCTCTACGGACAATTCCTTCGACCTCATGGCTTGGTTTTTGCTCTGACATGCACTGTCAATTGTGGGGCCTTATATAGACAGGTGTGTGCCTTTCCAAATCATGTCCAATCAATTGAATTTACCACAGGTGGACTCCAATCAAGTTGTAGAAACATCTCAAGGATTATCAATGGATGCAGGATGCACCTGCGCTCAATTTCGAGTCTCATAGCAAAGGGTCTGAATACTTATATAAATAAAGTATTTCTGTTTTTTATTTTTAATAAATGTGCAAACATTTCTAAAAACCTCTTCACTTCATTATTATGGGGTATTGTGTGTAGATTGATGAGGGGAATAAATAATGTAATCAATTTTAGAATAAGGCTGCAACGTAACAATGTGGAAAAGGGGTTGGGGTCTGAATACTTTCCGACTGCACTGTAGATGTCAATAGGTCTAAGTAAACCCAGACCGCAGAGCTTTTGTTTTTAGGAATCATAGTATCAATCACACATCTATTTATGATTTTGTATATTTATTTAAATAAATAAAAATTACGTCTCAGCTGAGTAAATTGGACTCCCAGACTCTGATCTACTTGTAGTGAGGACTAGTAAGATAATGCCTGGTACCAGCATAATCTTTTATGTTTAATAGCAATATAATTTTATTACCATTCAAAAGAGGTCAATGTGTTTTTATTCGCTGGGTGGTTAACTAATATAATGCTGACCATGATATTTTATACTCTTGTTACATTACACCTATAAAGATTAGATAACCCTCTGTATGTAACAGTGTAAAGCATTTGTCATAATGCATTGAACAAAAATAGAATTCCTAGACTGTGGATGGAAAGGCTATGACTTGCATTGTATGGAATGTGCTTTGGGCCATTGAATTAATGGTTGACTGAATGTGTGTTTGTTTGTTGCAGGTAGCCAGCCCTATGTCATGGCCTCCAGCATTGCTAAACCAGGCCCTGGGAATGGCTACCCCATGAAGGCACAACTGCAAATCATGGGTTGGTTCATGATCCTTGTAATTTTCATAATACGTAGTCTATTCATGTCATATTTTAGAATTCTTCAGAATGGAAATTAAAAGGTTAAATTTTGAGAATTAGTATACGTGCTGTAGTGTCTATGATTTATAGTTCCCTTATTTTTTATTTTGGTATTGAAGTCAGTTGCATAGCCATGTTTTGTATTGTAGTGTAAGGGTATAGTCCATAGCAAACATAGGAAATTCTGTTTCTCAGGGTGTGGACTGTTTATTTACAGAATTGACCTGAAGTGCTATCAAACTAACTTCTACCAGACAGTCTAACTTCTAGCTCTGCCCTAATTGACAACACTTGTTTACATCCCCTCAGTGCTATCAGCAAAACTGAAAGAAAACAGGAAGAACTGGTTTGGTCCCAGTCCATATGTTGAAGTGGCAGTTGATGGCCAGTCCAAAAAGACAGAGAAATGCAACAACACCCACAGTCCCAAATGGAAGCAGCCGCTAACAGTGTAAGTTGTCGTTGTGTTATTGATGACAGTCAGTGTTGAGAACAAGGAACGTCCTCTTAATTGAACAACTACAAATTCTTTACACAAGTGGCAGGTGTAACTGCCAGAATAAAGGGAACACCAACATAAACAGTCTTAATAGGGCGTTGGGCACCACGAGCCAGAACAGCTTCAATGCACCTTGGCATAGATTCTTTAAGTGTCTGGAACTCTATTGGAGGGATGCCACACCATTCTTCCACGAGAACTTCCATTATTTGGTGTTTTGTTCATGGTAGTGGAAAACGCTGTCTCAGGCACCACTCCAGAATCTCCCATATGTGTTCTATTGGGTTGAGATCTAGTGACTGAGATGGCCATGGCATATGGTTTACATCATTTTCATGCTCATCAAACCATTCAGTGACCCCTCGTGCCCTGTGGATGTCATCCCCTGGGGACATAGCCACAGTGGCCAAAATAATGGCCTGCCCAGCATTTTTATACGTGACCCTAAGAATGATGGGACGTTCATTGCTTAATTAACTCAGGAACCACGCATGTGTGGAAGCACCTGCTTTCAATAGGGCCCCGTGTAGCTCAGTTGGTAGAGCATGGCGCTTGCAACGCCAGGGTTGTGGGTTCGATTCCCACGGGGGGCCAGTATGGAGAAGAAGAAAAATGTATGCACTCACTAACTGTAAGTCGCTCTGGATAAGAGCGTCTGCTAAATGACTCAAATGTAAAATATACTTTGTATCCCTCATTTACTCAATTGTTTCCATTATTTTGGCAGTTACCTGTAGTAGTGCCAAGTGCCAACACATCCACACAATCAATCCCTTCATTGTATAGCTCTGGACTCTTACTCTACTGGCCCTTCTTATATTAGAGTGGGCCCCCCTCCTATTTCAGTGTGTCATACTATGGTGTAGTAAGCTGATGGGCCTTGTAACTCTATTTTCCTGCAAGCATTCAAGTTTTAACTAGGCAGCTGTTATAGTAGGCATGGACACTTGCGTCTAGTCTCCACGCTAACACTGTTGAAACATTTCTTCAAATGATATAATAATAATAATAGTAATAATGTATTCAACATTTATAGCGCTATTCATTACATAAATAATCTCAAAGTGCTTTAAGGCAACAAAAAAGACAAGCAATTTAGAAAAATAACAGAATTAGATGTTCACCATAGACGATCATCTAGACGCTTTCATATATTACTGCTATATTTACAGTGAATTAACTGTCATCTTCATTGTCTGTCTTTCATCTCGTCAATAGAATTGTCACTCCTTTTAGCAAGCTAATCTTCCGAGTATGGAGTCACCAGACCTTGAAGTCGGACATAATGTTAGGCATGGCAACTCTGGAGGTCAGCGAAACACTCAAAGCCAACGACATGAAAAGTGAGTGCCTTCCTTGTATCATGTTATGCATACCTTGCTTGGCTATGTGATGAAGGCCTGTACTGTGTCTGTGTGCTAGTTCTCACACACAACACGGCACAGGCACCACTCTCTGCATTGAGGCAGATGAGATTACTTTCCTCTCATAAAGAGTAAATTCAGTCCACTGCCAATTTTCTAAACACATGTAAGCCAAACCAGATGGAAAATATCACATCACTCTCCTATTTTGATGATCGGTAAACAATGATAACTTTGGTTTGAAGTAGGATAATTACTTTGTTCCTAATGGCTGTATATTTGCTAACAGAACTCCTCTGTTTTGATTGGTTGGTTTCCTTGCCTCTTATGGGGATTCTCTCTCCATTACTTTTTCCATCCACTAGTTTGTTGAATGTATATTTGATAAGGTGATAACAAGAGAGAAACATTGGTCATAGTCTATGTGGTGTACTATCCATGCAGTACTGTCCCTCCTGTAGCTTAGTTGGTAGAGCATGGCGCTAGAAACGCCAGGGTTGTGGGTTCAATTCCCACAGGGGGCCAGTATGAAAAATGTATGCACTCACTAACTGTAAGTCGCTCTGGATAAGAGCGTCTGCTAAATGACTAAAATGTAAATGTAATGTCCCAAACTCATTAAGAGTCCTGGTGGAAAGTGGCAGACAAAAATGATTCAAAGTGTTGATAAAGACTTTTGACAGGCGAGGAGCTGAGAGGAAGGAGGGTTTTTATTACATAACCAATACTTTTGTTCCATGTTTTTTTCCCCAGTCTCTGAGGTGGTGCAGACGCTGCAGCTGAGTGCAGACAGAGACCAGACAGATGTTGTGGGGGACCTGTCTGTCTGTCTGGATGGCATGCAAGTGGACCCAGAGATGTTTGCCTCTGCTGCCGAGGCTAACACCCAAAGTGAGTCTGTGAAATGTTATCCACAGTGTTGTCTGTAATGATTTGTAGGGCGCGTTATGGTTTTCCCAACTTGCCCAGAAAATAAGCTCCAGCTTCCCCTCAGTACGTTCAGTTCCCAACTCTGTGTTTCTGGATCTCAGGTACATCGAATGGGGAATCGCAACAGAATGGGGATGATGTGAGGTAAGCATATTATTCATGGTTACTGTGGTAATGATGCTCTTGCTTATATTTGTATATGGGCACTGTCTTGTCAGTGCTCCAAAGTTAATAGTTGATCTTGTGGCAGGCGGAGTAGAGACGGCTCTCCTTCTGTGGATGGTTTGGAGCACAGAGCTTCCCCAAATGGTCGTGTGGTCACAGTGAATGGCACAGGGTCTTGCAAAGGGTCTCCCTCTCTGTCAGCAGGGGGCTCCAGGGGTAATCCTCTACGGCCCCCCAGGCCCTCTCGACCCCCTCCACCCACCCCGCGCAGACCAACCTCCTCTCCAGGTGAGGCGGTCAACATCATAACCCATCTTAAAACCAACAGCAATGCTCCTGGGGATTTATTGGCATAATATTTTGCTTTATTTGTCCACAATTGAAGCATTTGTCAGATAATGGCAGAAAAGGACACTACATTACATTTACAATACACTAGATGGTTTTGTTTTCTCAAACTCACTCAATCTTCTTTTCTCATTCACTGGTTCACAGCAGCATCCTCTAATGGATCCATTCCAACTGAAGAAAGTGATGGCCCCAGCATAGAGACCCCAGTCTGTACACCTGCAGTACCAGACCCTAACGCCCCACCCCCTACACACGACCAGAGCCAAGCAATAGCAGCCAGCCAAGCAGACAGTGTAACCCCAGGACCCCCCAGAGCCCCCGCTGTCGCCGCAGGCCCATTGCCTCCTGGGTAAGGGTCAAACCATCCATGGTGATCTGGCTGGCAGAAACACACTGTTAGTCAGTTTGTGTTGTCAATACAACTCCACCCTCAGGATCATCTTATTGTTATGCGCTGTTAAAAAAACTCAAGCGAGATTGGAATGCGGCTGTTGTCGTGACTGCTTTCAAACTGCAATGACCTGTTATTATTGCTCCAGGATTACATAGTCTCATCACTTTAATACTTTAACTCTACCCTACCTGCCGTGACTTGAATTTCTGCTTTTGAAGCTGGCTGACTGATGTTGTAAATGTTTTAATTTTCTTTGAATCACATGTTCCTGTGAAGATGGGAGCAGAGGGTGGATCAGAATGGAAGGCTGTATTTCGTAGATCATGTGGAAAAGAGGACAGCGTGGGAGCGGCCTGAGCCTCTACCTTCTGGGTAACTCCTCTTACATATCCTGTGTCTTTTTCCTATCCACGTATTTACACCAGTTCACAAGACAAGCAGAGAATAGTGTGTTTGTTACTAGAGGATACTAAATGCCAAAGCTCTTTATATAGCCTCCCCTGTTCCTCTTTGCCCTGTATGTAGGTGGGAGCGGCGAGTGGACCCCATGGGCAGGGTCTACTTTGTAGACCACATCACGAGAACTACCACATGGCAACGGCCCACCATGGAGACGGTACGGAACTATGAACAGTGGCAGCACCAACGCAACCAGCTACAGGGTGCCATGCAGCAGTTCAACCAGCGCTTCATATTTGGAGTGAATGGGGTAAGTGGGAACTCTGACTGGTCAAACCAAGTGCTCCGCTCCTACAATAACAGTACTGAATAGGTGTGAAACACTCAACAGATGAAGAGTTTAATGGGATACTTTGGGATTTTGGCAATGAGGCCCTGTATCTACTTCCCCAGAGTCAGATGAACTCGTGGATACCATTTTTATGTCTCTGTGTCCAGTATGAAGGAAGTAAGAGGTAGTTTCACGAGCCAATGCTAACTAGCGTTAGCGCAATGACTGGAAGTATTGACTTCCAGTTAGCCTAGCGGTTAGAGCATTTGGCCAGTAACCGAAAGGTTGCTTGTTCGAAAACCTGAGCCGACAACATGAAAAATCTGTCTGTGCTCTTGAGCAAGGCACTTAACCCTAATTTGCTCCAGGGGTGCTGTTTTACTATGGCTGGACTGTAAAACAACACATTTCACTGCACCTATCTGGTGTATGTGACAATATAAAGATCTTTATTTTATTTTTTTTGCTTCTCTTAACTCTTTTATACATATTGGGCTGTAAACAGTTTGTCCTTTTTCAGTTGGGGATATTTAACCAATCTTTATCAGTTGATATTTAACTTAACTGTTTTTATATTGTTTTTATATTATTATCTTTATCTTGTCTTGTGCACTGAAGCTCCAGGACCAGGTTCCAGCCACTGAGAACAAGCAGTTTGATCCCCTGGGCCCACTGCCACATGGATGGGGTAAGATCTCACTCACTACCTCACATGAAAAGGTCACAGATGAATCTGTTTTCTAGACTTTTGAATGAATTGATCATTTTACCTAAACTATTCTGTTTCATCCCATTTACGTTCTCAGAGAAAAGAACTGACAGCAACGGGAGAGTGTACTTTGTCCAACACACCACACGGACTACACAGTGGGAGGACCCTCGCACTCAGGGGTGAGAAGTTAATCTGTACTACTCTTAGTACAGATATGTATCCTAACAGCTACTTTTAACCTCAGTGGGGCTAGCCTGGCACACCTAGAACAGGGTAAGATTAGCTCGGTCCCTGGGTCTAGTACTCTCCACATGCCCATACACTGGAATTGAAGTGTAAATTCAGACATTGTGCAGATCTGTATCCTACTGTATGTCCCTGTATTATGTTGACACTCTGTCTCTCCCTTAGGCTGCTGAATGAGAAGCCTCTTCCAGAGGGCTGGGAGATGAGGTTCACGGTCGACGGCATCCCATACTTTGTGGACCACAACAGGAGAGCCACTACGTACATCGACCCTCGCACTGGAAAATCCTCACTGTACGTCCCAACTTTACAGTCACTTATCAAAGCATTGGACTACCTCTCTGACTAAACAATTTTTCTTTGAGGCCATAGTTTAGACTAAAACTAGGCTCTTTGTAGCAAACACGGGTCTGTTTCATAGGCACTAGTTTTGACTCCAGTGATGGAACTGTTGCTAATAATAATAATAACGCTTTCTTTCTGTACCCAAAATGTCAAATTAGGATGACTAATATGGGCTGAACAGATAATGTACTGTCTGTCTGTGTATCTTTTCAGTATTCTAATGAGCCACACCTGAGGGATGATATTGGTGTACTGTCAACATGACTGCTCTCTGTTTAACAGTGACTATGCTGTGCTCTATTCCCCAACTAACAGGAATAACATGTTTGGTGCCTTTCACAGGAATGCTGTTTCAGTCTGCACACCTGTAGCCTGCTTTGGCTTAAACATTTATCATTATCTGTTTAGTCTGCGCAGTGTAGTGAAAACACAACATTTTCTGACTGTCTGGGGTCTATGGTTTGACGTTCTTCTATAGTTCTACTACACTATAGTAAAAGCCAGGTAATCTGACAGAAAGCTGATTCAGTATTTGGTCCATGATGCGTGACTGAATGTATGCCTTTTCCTTCCCTCACTCTCTCCAACAGTGAAAATGGGCCCCAGATTACTTACGTTCGAGACTTTAAAGCCAAAGTCCAGTACTTCAGATTCTGGTGCCAGGTAGGTGTCATGCCTTCTGAGTTTGAGTGGTTAAACAGTGACATTGTTTTTATGGTCAACAGAACAGCATGAATTCTAATGCACAGTGACCCAATGAAATGAAAACAACGACCCGCTATTTCTGTTGGCACGTTTGGAAAAAAATAATATGCTTCAAAATCACTTATGATTTCCTCTTCTTGTCCAGCAATTGTCAATGCCTCAGCACATAAAGATCACTGTCACCCGCAAAACCTTGTTTGAGGACTCGTTCCAGCAAGTGAGTAAACATCCTCCCAAATGAGCATGTTGACATTGACATATGTTGTCCATATTAATTTGACTCTCTCCATTGTAGATAATGAGCTTCAATGCACAGGACCTCCGCAGGAGACTATGGATCATATTCCCTGGGGAAGAAGGCCTTGATTATGGAGGGGTGGCAAGGTAAAGTTATAATGTACTCTTTTCAATTACTCCCATGCAGTTATTGCACCCAATAAATAATAAGTAATTCAGTGGCGGTCCGTGCCGTTTAAGATTAGGGAGGACGATTCCTTTCTTTTTTTATGAGCATGGCCTTATTTCTATTACAGCATATTGGATGACTGTCATTCATATTCCATTCACCCAGTTCAATGTAACATAGATAGGTTTAGGCTACTACATGATACTCGAATTTGCCCTATACCCATCATGAGGTTGCTACAACCTAGCCTATGAATTAAAGTTTACAACGTAGGTGCAGAGGTCGAGAGACAAATTGGAGTAATCAAGGTGACAGTGACACATTCAATACCGCCTTGCACACTCTCCTGCATCTAGCTGATCTAGGGTGTAATCGCTAGTCCAAACGTTTTGCAACTAAACGAGAGTTTCTATTCGACAAATTCAGGTCTATCCTAGGGATGTTGGGGCCATCACATTTTGTCAGATGGTGATTGTCAAGCAAATAACTTCCTGTCTCACAGTAATTGACCGTTATTTTAGCATCTCCTGGTTTCCACACATAGCCTGATGCAGACATTTGGAACATCTACATTTAAAAAAGTAAAATAAATCCATGTCATATAGCCTACACCGACACAATAAATCCATTCTTTATTTTAGACGGGTCTAAAGAAACATGATATGAAGAAAATGTAGTCTATTTCAGAAGAACAGAATAGCATACTCCTTATGTTAGGCCCTGATCTGGCTATGCCATGGCTGTGGGTTACACTAGTTTAGCAGATAAGATTTGCTTAGAATTCCGTGGCATTATTTTATATTATTTTAATAGGATGAAGAATACAATTGAAAATAGATAAATAAAATAGAAAGGATATTTTCTCCAAACGATTTGAGGGAGTGCACACATGCGGCTATTCTGTGTTGAGCGGTTAGCAAAGAAACAGGTCCTCCTATATGCTTAATTTAGAGTTACCCGGCGGCCGTAATGCCCCCTAAAAAAAATCCATGCCTTTTGCGGCCAGTGGCCGTTGTGCCCTTGGGCTGAATATAATAATTATAATTCCTTTCTCCCGGCTGCATGCTCCGAAGCACCTCTCACTCATATGGCTCTCTCAGATACTGTCGCTCAATTCTTATTAGCCAATGCCGTCACATGATCGGGTCTTTCTCACAGGCTACAAGTGAAGACCGACACATCGGGGACGCAACTGCGCACTTCCTTATCCAATTCCTAGGCGCATATTAAAGATATTGGAAGAACTGTCCACATTTACTTTTCGTCAGCCAACAAGATGAGTAAGCCTAACAAACAGCAAAAGCACTAGCCTATGTCAATCTACTATCCCCGTAGCACAAAAGTTGACCTTTTCTGTGCGATAAATAAATATTCCAAACATAGTCTGGGACAGTTGTGGGATGCGGTAGTTCCCAAATTAATACAACCACTAGCATCAAAAAAACGTTTTTAAGCAACAAGGCTAACGCAACAGATCAGAACGTTTAGCTTAAAATGTTGATAAACTATTAGGTTATTTCTTCACATTATAAGCGCAGCAATGCGCACATGGCAGTAGGCTATAAGCGCGAATGCTCCAAAATACAATTAATTTGCGGGAAAACACCATTCTCAAAAGTGACCGTAAATGCAATAATGCATTTATTATAAATGTGCATTTTTATGTGGAAAATTATCTTCCCCAATCTTGAAACTCACGCGCTGCGTGTGTATGCCAGTTAGGCTCTACACCCATTGTAAAGCGGATTAATGTGCTTTACTTTAAGAAGTTATTTGGACACTTTAGTTGTGATACAAACCTTATCAAAACATATATATGGGCTAGGCTACATGAGGTGTGCGACTATGATTTGAAAAAGTTGAGCTGTTTCTTTAATAATAATAATAATAATATGCCACTTAGCAGACGCTATTATTCAAAGCGACTTACAGTCATGCGTGCATACATTTTTGTGTATGGGTGGTCCCGGGGATCGAACCCACTACCCTGGCGTTACAAGCACTGTTCTCTACCAGCTGAGCTACATAGGACCACACTTACTTACTACACACAAGCTGGGCATCATTCACAAGTGACAATATATAATTCTCAAGTGATAGGCTAATATTGTCACCCATCAGACTATTCTTGATTTAGTTTGTCTTTACATATACTAAATAATATGTGTGAAATTTGTTTTGATTTAGAATGGATCATTAGGGGCAGGGAGAAAAAATACATGTCGTCTATGCACTTAAATAGCGAATGGAGGATTATTTTTCCTTGGTTCATTTTCATGCCAGCCATGTGGGCTATACTCCTGTTGTAAAGAGAAGCAATGTCCTTAATATTAGGAAAGTTGAGAAATAAATATAGAGGCCTAGCCTATAGAAAGCTGATGGGATCTTCCTCTTTTTAATAGAGGCCATCACAATTCTCACGCAATTGCATAGCCTATAGAAATGTTGCGCAACATGAGCTCATGGGCTGTCATGAAGTGTTTGATTCGATTTTTTATCACATTTGCATTGATGTCAGAGTGATTAGAGGGACAATAGAGTGCTGAGTACCAGGCAGTTAGCAAGTTTGGTAGGCTACTAATGACCATCGGCAGCATCAGAGCTTGAAGAAGCCTAATTACTGTGACTAAACAGTCACGTGGAATTTGACTGCCGTCATGACTTGTGAACCACCGGTGTGGCGGTAATACGGTCACCGTAACAGCCCTAGTCCATCCACGTTTAGTTCCGTTTGCTTCTTTTAAGAAATGTTTTGCAACAGAATTGGCGGAATGAATACACCCCTGATCACCCGCACACACAGTTCCCTTTCATAGCAGCCATACAAACAGCATCATCACATCTACGTGCTCTCTTCCTCTCACATTTTCCCTTCGCTTGTGGACTTCAGTGCACAACACAAAAGCGGTCTGTGACCAGGCAAAAAAAAACTCTCCAAGCCAAACCTTTATACAATAACCACTACACACAACCTACATCATTGTCACCATATCTGCTAACATCATAGTCAACATACAGTGCTATGAAAAAGTATTTGCCCCCTTTCTAATTTTCTCTACTTTTGCATATTTGTGATACTGAATGTTATCAGATCTTCAACCAAAACCTAATATTAGATAAAGGGAACATAAGTGAACAAATAACACAACAATTACATATTTATTTCATAAACAAAGTTATGCAACACCCAATTCCCCTGTGTGAAAAAGTAATTGCCCCCATACACTCAATAACTGGTTGTGCCACCTTTAGCTGCAATGACTCCAACCAAATGCTTCCTGTAGTTGTTGATCAGTCTCTCACATCGCTGTGGAGGAATTTTGGCCCACTCTTCCATGCAGAACTGCTTTAACTCAGTGACGTGTGGGTTTTCAAGCATGAACTGCTCGTTTCAAGTCCTGCCACAACATCTCAATTGGGATTAGGTCTGGACTTTGACTAGGCCATTCCAAAACGTCCAATTTGTTGCCTTTTAGCAATTTTCATGTAGACTTGATTGTGTGTTTTGGATCATTGTCTTGCTGCATGACCCAGCTGCGCTTCAGCTTCAGCTCACAGACGGATGGTCTGACATTCTCCTGTAGAATTCTCTGATACAGAGCAAAATTCATGGTTCCTTCTATTAAGGCAAGTCGTCCAGGTCCTGAGGCAGCAAAGCATCCCCAAACCATCACACCACCACCACCATGCTTGACCTTTGGTTTGATGTTCTTACTGTGGAATGCAGAGTTTGGTTTTCGCCAGGCATTACTGGAACCATGTCGTCCAAAAGGTTATACTTTTGAATCATCTGTCCATAGAACGTTATTCCAAGAGTCTTGATGATCATCCAGGTGCCTTTTGGCAAACTTGAGTCAACTTTTTGGATGAGATGGGTCCCATTATGCCTGGCGAAAACCAAACACTGCATTCCACAGTAAGTCAAGCATGGTGGTGGTGGTGTGATGGTTTGGGGATGCTTTGCTGTCAACTTTAAGTCAACTTTGGAAATGGCAGGGCGATTTCTGCATAGTGCATCTTTTAATGTTTCACTATTTTTTTTAGTTTTATGAAATTCACTGAGTAGGATGGTCCTCCTCTGAGGAGCCTCCACTGAAGTTATTGTAGTGGTGAAGGTACCTTCTGTGCCCCCTGGTCAAGGTTTGAGCTGCTTGAATAACCTTGTAAAACATCCTAGATAAGAGTGGTTGTCTACCAGTTGATATTTGACCCAGTTATGAAGTATGGTGTTAACTGGATACTTGCAGAGAGATTTTGTATTGTGATGAAATATACATTTCTCTCTTTGTAGGGAGTGGTTCTTCCTGCTCTCTCATGAGGTGCTGAACCCCATGTATTGCCTGTTTGAGTATGCTGGGAAGGACAACTACTGCCTGCAGATCAATCCTGCCTCCTACATCAACCCTGACCACCTCAAGTACTTCAAATTCATCGGACGCTTCATCGCCATGGTGACTGTTCTTAGTCACTACGTTTTTCAACTGCAATGTGACATTTATGAATGCAAACATCTGCTGATGCAGTTGTTCTGCATTTTTTTTACATTAACCTCCTGATCTCTTTTCCCAGGCTCTTTTCCACGGGAAGTTCATTGACACAGGCTTTTCACTGCCGTTCTACAAGCGCATGCTGAACAAGCCATGGGCACTAAAAGATCTAGAGTCCATTGACCCAGAATTCTACAATTCTCTCATCTGGATTAAGTGAGTCTTCTGAGGAAGCTGTACTGAAATTAACTTTGGTTGTAATGGATATACATGTTTGTTTAATGTTTTGGTGGCTGTGATGAACACACATTTAACTTCATGGCCCCATTTTTCTTGATGACAGTTGTTTTCCATTTTGGGTCACTGATACATGTCTTTGTCATCTGTTGTACACTTCAGGGAGAACGACATCGAGGAGTGTGGCCTGGAGATGTACTTCTCTGTGGACAAAGAGATTCTGGGTGAAATCACCACTCATGAGCTTAAGCCGGATGGAGGAGAGGTCCTGGTCACTGAGGAGAACAAGGAGGAGTATATCAGGTCTGTCTTAGCTAATGGCCTCCCCCCCCCCCCCCCCCCCCCTTCTCTTAGTACCTCTGACTCCTTTTCACTACTGTCCTGATGTGTGGTGCCTTGATGGTCTGTGTTTCTCCCCCCAGGCTTGTAGCAGAGTGGAGGTTGTCCAGAGGTGTGGAGGAGCAGACCCAGGCCTTCTTTGAGGGCTTCAACGAGGTCCTCCCACAGCAGTACCTGCAGTACTTTGACGCCAAAGAACTTGAGGTACGAGTCTTCGTTTGGGCTACTTATTTATACCAGGTTCCCCATATTCACTCTGGTAAAGATGAGAGTTGTTGTTCCAACTCTCATGTACCAGTGAGCCAATTGTTACTTGTCCACTTCCTGCAGGTGATGCTGTGTGGGATGCAGGAGATCGACCTGGCAGACTGGCAGAGGAACACCATCTACAGACACTATGCACGCAGCAGCAAGCAGGTCCTCTGGTTCTGGCAGGTCAGTGTTACCCATCTCTCCTCACCAGTACTACAATCAGGTGCCACATCTCCTCAGTATCATTACATTCAGATCACGCACCAAAGAACAAGTATGAACATACTGTACCCTCCTGGACTTCCCTTCCAGCTCATCAAAGAGATGGACAACGAGAAGCGGATGAGGCTCCTCCAGTTCGTCACAGGCACCTGCCGCCTTCCTGTCGGAGGCTTTGCTGACCTATTGGGTAAGGAATACAACCGACAGGGGTGAAATATAATGAAATATAACATTATGCCATTTTTACCTGTAAGTAGATGGGTTAGTGACTTACATATTTGGTTTTGTAGGGAGCAATGGCCCACAGAAGTTCTGCATCGAGAAGGTGGGAAAGGAGAACTGGCTACCCAGAAGTCACACCTGGTGAGTACTGTATGGATGAGTCAAGGTTAAAACAGAGTAAAGGCTTCACTCGACAGATAACTAACCTGCCTCTATTTCCCCCTTCTCTAGCTTCAATCGATTGGATCTGCCTCCTTACAAAAGCTACGAGCAGCTGAAGGAGAAATTGATGTTTGCGATTGAAGAGACGGAGGGCTTTGGGCAGGAGTGATCCAGCAACGGATCAATAGACAGAGGAGTGTGGTCTTCATTTGTCAGTGTTTAAGCCTGGGAGCCTCTTGAAGACCAGCGTGTGTTTGTGTGTGCTTGCCAGTGTTTCCCCTATATGCATTTAGCAGTGGCGCAGTGGCGCACCGACGCTACCTCCTGCATTTTTTTATAATGTGGAGGCATAGATGTATGCCCCAGGAAGACCCCATCCACCTCCCCCCGCAAACTCTGCCACCGCTGTAGAAAATAATCCTAGGGGAAACACTGAGTGCTGTTGAAGGGAGAGAACTTGCTCTAAAATACTGGAAGAATATTGGAGGAGGGTATCGATCCACAACAGAAAGCTGCTCCCGTCTCTCAATGTCCCCCACATCATGCATGAACGCTGGAAACCCACCCTCAATAACATATTATAAATGGGACAGGGATATCAGAAGCATCGGTCCCATCATCCTTTGATTGACCCACCACTATTTCTGACAATCCCAACGCTGACTTTGAGGAAAATGAGGACCTCTGATCAGGCAATGGCCAGATCCAGAAGTTGCACTGCACATGCTTCAAAATAGAACAGTCCTTCTGTTCAAGGCTACTTGGCGTTTATCTGTGAATCAATAAAAAATGGCAAGGGACAATATTGGCCCCTATATTTATGGTACGAGAGTACATGGATGTGGCTCTAATATGACCCTAGTTTTATAGGGCATTGTGACATGACATGATAAAATGTAATATCTTTATGTATTCTGGGGAATAAGAAGTGTGAAATGTTGGTCTAGAATATTGCCTTGATGTCTTTGGTAATGAGATTTAACCACATTGTGGAGACTAGATATACATGTAGCTTTTAATAGTCTGGGAGATTTTTAACATACAAATTTATCGATTTTTATATTAATGGGAGATGTTTTTCTGGCCGTGGCAAAGGCATGGGAACGGTGGGAATACATCTTTCTTTCTGGGAAGATTATAAATGGAAATCCCAGGGAAGTAAATGTGTAAATAATGATAATTTATGTTACATTGCAAATAAAAAGTCAGCTCCTTTTATTTTTGTCTCCAGATGTATCCTTATGCAACTTAACTGCTCTCCGTGTATATGAAACCATGTTGTAAATACTGTTAAATGAATTTCCTTTTATAAAAAGGGGTTTATGGTGAAATGCTGTTTTGATTTATGTACATTATAAATGTGTAAGAAAAAAATAAGATTTTTGCTCAAATGACAATGGGTTTAGTGGTTTTCCTTTGGATGTGTTAGTTTGATAGTGATCGTAGTCAAATGAAAAGTCTATTTGTTACAATCATGTAGAGTGAAACTGCTTAAAATCACAGTATCCATTTTGAATAGACGCAGCTTAATTTATTCAATAAACATCAAGTGCATGCCTTAAGATTCATACCTTACATAAAATGTTTTCACAAAATAGAATCAGTACCTCTAAGGTAGTCAGGAATGTCCACAATACATTTACTGTACATGCGGCAGGTGAAAAAATACATTTTAAACTAAAAGTGCTCTCGTAAGGATGAAAACATTATCACCTGTTGTCTGGTCATGGATGAGGCAACTCACTGTTCTGAATAACAATCATCACTAAAAGGAAAAAGTGCCAAGCTTCAATGTTTTAATATAAAACATAGAAACCCCTTTAATTGGAGGGATATAGTGAGATTCAAATCCCTTCCACATGCAGAGATAGTCTCAGGACAATATCATCAAGATTTTGCTTGAATGTAACTCAGGCCTCAATCCATTGTCGCTATGAACATGGGTGCTCTGCTGTAACCAGCCAGTGTCACTCAGCAATCTCCAAAGTGTTCCTCCTGCTCTGCCTCTCCTCCCTCTGACTGATCCTCAACTGGAACAATTGACTTCACCGCCTGAGGGTCCTCAATCCTCTCCTCTTCTTCCTCCCTTTCATCCACCTCTTCCCTGCTCTGTTCTATCTCCTCCTGGTTCCCCTCTGTCCTGTGTCTCTGCCTCTTCACTCTCTTCTCCGCCCCTTCCTTCTCCACCGCAGCCCCTGCCATGGGGCACTTGTGGTCTCTGTAGTACTTCTGTCGTGTGAAGCCCTTGTTGCAGGTGGCACAGCGGAAACGATAGTTGTCTGTGTGCGAGCGTTGGTGCTCCAGCATGTGTGCTCTTCTGCTGAAAGCTTTCTGGCAGTACCCACATTTATAGGGCTTGATACCTTGGGATGACAGAAACAAAAGGTATGACTCTCGATTGTTTTGAACCCTAACTTTAAAATGGCTGTCAAAACCTGCAACAAGGTCTATTAAGTTTACAGCTGTGACTTAATCATTTACAACAGAGAGGAAACACTCACCAGAATGAGACAATATGTGTGCCTTCAGCTTGTCTGGTCTGTTAAACTCTTTAGTGCAACCAACATGTGTCCTGAAAGCACAAAACAATGCCTTAAATACACCAATAAAAAAAGCAGAGCTTTCTCTTACATTGACTAAGGTATCCCCAGCTTTCTATTGGAATCCTTTGTGGCTCAGCTTTCCAAATAGCTTCACATATGATCTGTTAGGACAACAGAAGCCTCACTTACCTAAATGGACATTTGTATTTCTTAAAGGGCTCATGAATGAGCATGTGCCTCTTCACCTTGTCCTTCCTGTTGAACATGGCCTCACAAACAGAACATTTGTATGGCTTTTCTCCTGCAATGGAATTACAGTGTTGCCATAAGCACAGCAGAAAGAATCGAGTGAAAGTTATTTGCATCATGGGGTAATGTGTCTGCATGCCTCACCTGAGTGGATACGAGTGTGCAGTTTGAGGTAGTGCTCGGTTTTGAAGAACTTTTTACATATCTGACATTTGAACCTCCCTCCAATACCATGTGTGGGCAGGTGTCGCCGGAAATACCTCTCACAAGGAAAAACCTGCCAAAATGAAAAGCATCCTTTAGAGTAACTGTGCTTGGAAAGTAGATCCTAGCAGTGAATGACAACCATTTTTTCAAGAGCATACCTTTTGGCAATGTGGGCAGGGGAAGTTATGAGAGGCAGTTAATAAATGCTGCTCCAAGGCCTCTTGCGTGGCGTACCGGCTTTGGCATTTCATGCACCTGAGTGTGATAGAAACACTTGTGAAACCATAACCATGGGGTCAAACAACAGAGTTGTGATCACACTGAAAATAAAAATGTTTGAACCAAAGCCACTGACTGAACTTTGTAAGCATTAGTATGGCCTAATTAGAAGAGTGGAGATGGTGAAGTTGACCTATAGAAAGTGGACTCCTTGCGTGGGTTCTGCTGGGGACAGAAGCAGTGGGAGTACTGGTGCACCCCCAGCTCAAACAGCGAGGGGAACACCTTGCTACACAGGTGGCAGCGGTAGGTGAGCTGCTCCTGGTGCGTCCGGATGTGCTCCAGGAACAGATCCAGTTTCTGGAACGTCTGGGAACAGGACTTCACCACACACTTATATACCTGAAACACAGCAGGAAGGAACTTTAGAAGGATGAGTGGTGAGAAAAGAGCTTCTAAGAGAGACATCTGACACAAATCAAATCAAAGTTTATTGGTAGCGTACACAGATTTGCAGATGTAATAGCAGGTTTCAAGCTCCAACAGTGCAGTATTACCTAGCAATAAAAAAACAATACACACATAATCCAGAAAAATTTAAATAATAAGTTATATAGGATGAGCCATGACTAGAATACAGTATATACACTCGGTAAAACAGTATGCAAACATTATTAAAGTGACCAGTGTTCATGACTATGTACATAGGGCAGCAGTCTCTAAGGTGCAGCATAGAGTACCGGGTACTGGGCGGAGGCCGGCTTGTGGTGACTGTTTAACAGTCTGACGGCCTGGAGATAAAACCTGTTTCTCAGTCTCTCTGTCCCAGCTTTGATTAACCTGTACTGTCTCCACCTTCTAGATGGTAGTGAGGTGAACAGGCCGTGGCTCGGGTGGCTGAGGTCCTTAATGATCTTCTTGGCCTTCCTGTGACACCGGGTGCTGTAGATGTCCTGGAGGGCAGGCAGTGTTCCCTCGGTGATGTGTTGGGCTGACCGCACCACCCTCTGGAGAGCCCTGTGGTTGCGGACGGTGCAGTTGCCGTACCAGGCGGTGATACAGCCCGACAGGATGCTTCAATGGTGCATCTGTAGAAGTTTGTGATGGTTTTAGGGGCCAAGCCCGAATTTCTTTAGCCTCCTGAGGTTGAAGAGGCGTTGTTGCGCATTCTTCACCATGCTGTCTGTGTGAAGAGACCATTTCAGGTTGTCAGCACGCCAAGGAACCTGAAGCTTTTGACCCTCTCCACTGCGGCCCGCCGATGTGGATGGGAGCATGCGCTCTCTGCTGTCTCCTGTAGTGTACGATCAGCTCCTTCGTTTTGTTGACATTGAGGGAGAGGTTATTTTCCTGGCACCACTCCGCCAGGGCTCTCACCTCCTCCCTGTAGGCTGTCTCATCGTTGTTGGTAATCAGGCCTACCACTATTGTGTCGTCATCAAACTTGATGATTGAGTTGGAGACGTGCATGACCACGCAGTCATGGGTGAACAGGGAGTACAAGAGGGGGCTAAGCACACCTGGTGGGGCTCCCGTGTTGAGGATCAGAGTGGCGGAGGTGTTGTTGCCTACCTTCACCACTTAAGGTCGGCCCGTCAGGAAGTCCAGGACCCAGTTGCACAGGGAGGGGTTCAGACCCAGGGCCCCGAGCTTAGTGATGAGCTTGGAGGGGCACTATGGTGTTGAAGGCTGAGCTGTAGTCGATGAACAGCATTCTTACATAAGTATTTATCTTGTCCAGGTGGGATAGGGCAGAGCAATGGCAATTGTGTCGTCCGTGAATCTGTTGGAGCAATATGCTCTAGGGTGTCAAGTAAGGTGGACGTGATACGGGCCTCAAGTAGCCTCTCAAAGCACCTTGTGATGACAAAAGTGAGTGCTACGGGGCGATAGTCATTTAGTTCAGTTACCTTCGCTTTCTTGGGTACAGGAACAATGGTGGACATCTTGAAGCAAGTGGGGACAACAGACTGGGATATGAAGAGATTCATTTTTGAATACCTGTGCATCGGAGGACAAAAAAAGTTTGCCAAATAATATTAGCACTGATTGCCGCTGTGCATAATAAGGCTTGTGCATGAGTGCTTCATTATTGATCCGGGTAGATCCTTCCCTCATGTGGACTCACCTGCTCCCCCTTGTGCTGGGTCATGTGAGATTTGAGCTGGAAGTAGGTGCTGAACTTGCCGGCACAGAACTGGCACTGGTAGGAGCTGTCGATCAGGATGATCTGCTTGGTCTGGGCCTGCTGGCCGTTCTGCTTGCAGTCACCATCACCCAGGCTGTCCACATCAGTCTGGGAGTCACAGTCTCTCTCCTCAGGCTCACCTGGGGCTTCTGGACACACATTCAGTACACAATCTACATTTATAATACATACTTAAGCCCTTATACAATACTACATATTTCATTGACTTTGGATTTTGGTAATCATTACGTATTAGCACTATGTCATCCTCAAAAGGTCTCAGTGGCCTATAGAGAAATTATCATGATTCGACAGTGAGATGTTTACCTGGCTGCTCCTCCTCTTCCTCCTCCTCCTCCTCCTCATTATGTTGTTGTTGTTGTTCCTCCTGTTCTTCCTGTTGCTCCATGACCTCCTCTGCACACAGTGGGACCACCTTGACAGTGATGGGCAGCCTGGATACTGTACTGGCCACGCCCGAGGGCCACACTTTGTGTGTCTGCATGTGCTTCTTCACATTAGACTTCTGGGCAAAGGCCCGGCCGCATACAATGCACTGGAAAGGCTTCTCCCCTGTATGACTTTGGAGACATCCAAGATTATAATGTAAAACATGTGATATTCTTATGCTGGGTAGATTCAATGCATATGGATATTGCTTTTAAGTTTGAGCTGATTGGTGAACTCGATTTGTGAAACTCACCTTCTGATATGTTGCTGGAGATCAAAGTTTTTGGAGAAGATTTTGTCACAGAAATTGCACTTCAGCTTCTGGGACTTTACTTTCATTTGTTCTGCTGAAAAGCCAATGGATAGAATGGACAACATTATTTTATTTAGCCAATAATGAGAAACATGTAATATAAATAATAAAGATTAATTTCTTAGGATATAGACCTACAGTGCATTCGGAAAGTATTCAGACCCCTTGACTTTTTCCACATTTTGTTACAGCCTTATTCTAAAATGGATTAAATATATTTTTCACACACAATACCCCATAATGACAAAGCGAAAACAGGTTTTTAGAAAATGTTAGCAAATGTATTAAAAATAAAAAACAGAAATACCTTATATACGGCCCCACAGCTGACAGTGCATGTCAGAGCAAAAACCAAGCCATGAAGTTGAAGGTATTGTCCGTAGAGCTCCGAGACAGGATTGTGTTGAGGCACAGATCTGGGGAAGGGTACCAAACATTTCTGCAGCATTGAAGGTCTACAAGAACACAGTGGCCTCCATCATTCTTAAATGGAAGAAATTTGGAACCACTAAGACTCTTCCTAGAGCTGGTCGCCCGGCCAAACTGAGCAATCGGGGGAGAAGGGCCTTGGTCAGGGAGGTGACCAAGAACCCGATGATCTCTCTGACAGAGCCCCAGAGTTCCTCTGTGAAGATGGGAGAACCTTCCAGAAGGACAACAATATCTGCTGCACTCCACCAATCAAGCCTTTATGGTAGAGTGGCCAGATGGAAGCCACTCCTCAGTAAAAGGCACGACAGCCCACTTGGAGTTTGCCAAAAGTCACCGAAAGGACTCTCAGACCATGAGAAACAAGATTCTCTGGTCTGATGAAACCAAGATTGAACTCTTTGGCCTGAATACCAAGCGTCACGTCTGGAGGAAACCTGGCACGAAGCATCCCCCACCATGAAGCATGGTGGTGGCAGCATCATGCCGTGGGGATGTTTTTCAGCGGAAGGGACTGGGAGACTAGTCAGGAAAAAGGGAAATATGAACAGAGAAAAGTACAGAGAGATCCTTGATGAAAACCTGTTCCAGAGTGCTCAGGACCTCAGACTGGGGGCGAAGGTTCACCTTCCAACAGGACAACGACTCTAAGCACACAGCCAAGACAACGCAGGAGTGGCTTCGGGACAAGTCTCTGAATGTCCCTGAGTGGCCCAGCCAGAGCCCGGACTTGAAACCGAACGAACATCTCTGGAGAGACCTGAAAATAGCTGAGCAGCGATGCTCCCCATCCAACCTGACAGAGCTTGAGAGGATCTGCAGAGAAGAATGGGAGAAACTCCCCAAATACAGGTGTGCCAAGCTTGTAGCGTCATACCCAAGAAGACTCGAGGCTGTAATCACTGCCAGAGGTGCTTCAACAAAGTACTGAGTAAAGGTTCTGAATACTTACGTAAATGTGATATCTTCGTTTTTTATTTATAATACATTTCAAAAAATTTGAAAACGCCTGTTTTTGCTTTGTCATTATGGGGTATTGTGTGTAGATTGATGAGGGGAAAAAACAATTCAATCCATTTTAGAATAAGGCTGTAACGTAACAAAATGTGGAAAAAGTCAAGGGGTCTGAATACTTTCCGAATGCACTGTATATGTATATTGACATTTGTATCTCAAAATCATACCTGCTGCTCCATCCTGGCATTTCTTGCCATTTCTGGGTTGTTTAGGAATGATCACTTTGTCAAACTCCTCAAGCTCAGTTAGGTTTGCAGTGATGCTGCAGGTTTTGGTTTTGGTGCCTTGCTTCCCAGGGCTATATACTGGAGGAGTGTTGAATGACTGGCTCTCCACACACTGACTGGGGACCTGTGGGGCATAAATAATACATGTATTGTGTTAGTGAACTAACGATCCAAACTCTTTAGGATGTTGCCCAAACACTGCAGAGTACAGACGTGTAAATAAACAAGTCTGTCATCCTCCTCATTCTGTGCAAATCACAGATTGCATTAGTAAAAGCTCACCTGTACAGATTGGAACGGCTGCAAGCCCAGGGTGTGAATCTCTGCACTACCACTCACAGACATTTGAGGCATTGTGCTGTAGACCTGGACCACTGAGTTGCTGATACTGGACAGCACCTGGGAGGACAGAGGCTGAGACTGTCCAGGTGGGAGAGAGTGGGAGGACTGCTGATGGTGCTGGAGGTAGGATGCACCTGTGTGCATACTCAGGTTACTCTGAGAAGGAAAAGTAAACAAGATTTATAGAGTGAATACAGGTAGAAGAATAGCTTAATTAAATGAAAACCACTTACCTGAAATAAATGAAAACCACTTACCTGAATAGGGGGCTGCATAGCTGCCATGGGTTGGTCAATGGACGTGAAGGCGGAGATGGCAGACATCAGAACATCATCACTCACTAAAACATTGCCTTGGACCAGTGTCTGAGTAAGAGGAGATGGAGGCACTGTGATGTATGTGGCTACCTGATGTGGATGGCAAAACAAAGAAAAAAGGAAGACTGCATTAGCCAGCATTTACAATGTAAGCAAATGATTGTTCTGGAGGATGCTATGGTACTACTCACTGGCCCATACAGTAGCTAAGTACAGATAAATAAATATTTTCTCATACCAGACTCATGGCACTCCACTGTGGGAAGAGACTAAGTAATAACAAACATCTTAGCTAACAATAAAAACCATAAGTAATAAGCCAGTGCCCACCTGTCTGTTGGCGGGGGTCTGTGGCACAGAGCTAATGGAGGGCACAGGGGTGTAGGCGTTACTAGATGCCAGTGATACTGTAGACAGGGAGGGGGCATTGGACTGGCACTGCTCTCTCTTGTGGGTCATGAAGGCAGACAATGAATTGAACTGTTTCTTGCACTTCCCACAAAGAAAGACGTCTTCATCGTCTGTAGAGAACAATTGGGTATATATCAACACTTCAGTATTTCAATGGCAATAAATGGAGATGCAGAATGCATGTTTGATGTGTGTTAATGTAGTTCCTCTCTATGATCAACACAATGCAAAATGCAGTCATGCACAGATCAAGATGATAAAGGGGAAGTGGAGAGAAGCACACACCCATTGACTGAATGGTAGATGAGCCTGAGACGTTCTGGCTGTTTGGGTCAGGGACACCTCCCTGGCCATCCAACAGAGACTGGACAGCCAGGACTGTCTGGTTGTCCATCCCTGGAAGAGAATAATATATATGGGGGTCAAAACAGTGCACATCATGGTGTATATACCATAGTACGACATGAACAAATCAAAATGCGTGATATGACTGGTGCGCCACTGCTCTTCCGACAAGACTGCAGGCTGCTACCATTTTCTCGTGGTGGTAACTGTTAGCTAGCTCGTGGCAGTTGTTGTTTCTTCTCAAATAATTACCAAGCCAATGGAAAAGCAATGCATTACCACAAGCAAATCTAAAGAATGCATGGAAGATTATCAAATTTCGCTCAACGAAATAATAGCTAGCTAGCTAGCTCTCTGGCATTGATTATAAAGGCTTTATCATACCACATTGATATAAATTAACCTCCTAGATAACCTAAAATAACCTCACTGTTTCTAGAAAACGTTGTCTTAAAACCCATTAGTATGTTGTTAAAATAAAAGTGTGAATATGATCAAATGTATCGATACCTTCCAGGACTTCAAATATAGCCTGCGCCATCTTGTAGTTATTCTGTGTGTAGGCGCTCAATTAATACGACTGCGTGTCCGATAACGTTAGGTGGGCGGATTCTCAACAGCTGGTCCAGGGCCAGTTCCAACAGTTTTGGTCTTTTCTTTTTACTTTGGGATTTGGGTAGGAAAGGCTGATCCCAAGTCAGATGTTAATGGATGTGGTAACTTCTGCACCCCTCTTGATTTACTTCACAAAATAGTTACAAAATAATAAAGTGAATCAAATGATTTAGGATATAGTCCAACTATACACTTTCTCACATTTTATCCGCCAAAAAACATTTTCCCATTCAAAACAACGAAAAGCGTGGTATCACAGAGAGTGGCACTTCATGGAGCCAATGACAAGTCTGGGAAATTCTGAGTTTAGCGGGGCTCATTCGCTCAGCCAATTGAAATCGTGATATTGATTGACGTGTCAATTTCGCGGCTAAAGGATTTGGCGGGTAAACCTCAACTTGTTCTGATCAGCTGGGACAATAACAAATAATAACAGTTGATTTGGGGTCCAGATGATACATATTTTGCACGGACTATAGTCAAGGTGTTCAGCAAGATGATCCATATGATTCGTTTATCGGATATGTAGATTTTTGGTTGAATATTTATCATTATTTCAGTTTTGCCGTATTGCTTCCTGGGTGTGCTGACCAAAACGAGGGGGTGAAAAACTGAGTTGGCTAGTACTGTATCTAGCTAGCTAGCATGCTAACTTGCCCTCATTTTGAAAGGATGCATTATATAAATCCAGTTAGTTATTCTTCCAAGTTAAACTAGACGTTCGGGGTAGTGCAATTTTGTTAGGAAGAGTAAAAACTAGTTAGATTGTTGACTTGTTATAGCTGATGTTTTGCTTGAGGGTTTCGTATGAAACTGAGTTGTGTTCTAAGTTAACCCTGACGCGAACACAACCCCCTTTCTTGGCTAACAATACTAGAAAGCCAGCTAGTTAACTAACTAGTTAAACTTTTCTAGGTCGTTGGATACAGTATTCAATTAACTCTGCTCGCTAGCAACACAGTAAGCAAATTATTATCATTATGTTTACAACTTGCTCCAAACTAACGTTATTTTGATGTCAACTAACGTTAGCTACAGTAAATTAACTAGTTAGCTGACAAAGGGAAAGGAGTTGCTAGATGTGGCCTTGCCGCAAAACTTAGCAGCGAGTTAGCACGCTAGCTGACATTGGTGCTTGTTTATTACACCTTTGTCAACTATCAATATACAATAAGTGTTGCTGTATTGTATAGTTTCGGACTGTAACAATTGTATATTAGACTGCAACTGTCAGAAACCTCAACCACCGTCTCTAACTTTATTTTATAGCTGGCTAATTGGTAGGAATCACGCCCTATATTTGACCATACAGTTTTAATTGAGTCAGCTTTTGTTGTTGAAGCTTGATTGTCAGCAAGATAATGTCAATATTAGACATGGTTAACCTCAGTATTTGTAAGCCAACTCTTTCAATACATTTACACTATTATTCACATACATTAGAGATGACATATGTCAGAAGGTGCTAATACTACCATACCAAGCCATTGGACTTGAATTCTGCCCCAACACACCCCAGTTTTGTGTGCGATGTCAGAGACGCTCCTATCAGGTCAGACGTCGGAGGATCTATTGGTAGACTTTGAGTCTCTTCTGAATGCTGGGAGTATTGACCTGTTAGAAGACCACCAGATAGTCATCATTTCCACCCCCAGCAATGTGGGCTTCAACTCGGCAGTCCCCAGCAACACTGGGGAGGTCCTTCTGTTCGCCACCCCCCAAGGCCCTGCAGATGTGGTCCAGGACCAGCGACGGCCAACTCTGGGACGACCTCCGGTAGTTAACTATTTTGATATAGGTGTTCGCCGGAGTGTGACTAGGATGAGGTTATCCCTGTACAATGACTACAGAAAGTGTGTCTGTGTGAGAAATAAGTATATGTGTGCATCCATACTAACCTTTTACCTTGTGTTTCAGGTGAAGAGGAAGCTGGACTTGGACAGTGATCACCAATATGTGAGCACCTCTCGCCCCCCTTCTCTTGGGAGAGCCCCAACGTCCACACCAGCACCTCCTAGAGGTACAAGACCCCCTGTTTTACATTCACAATTCAAATATAACTATTCATTTTAATTAAATTGTAACTATTATCATTTTGGCCAAAGGTAATAAATACAAGTATTTTCATTCCTGTCTCCCTCTCTCTCTCAGTTCCAAAGCTTTCGACAGAGAAGTGTCGCTATGACACGTCTCTGAACCTGACCACCAAGCGCTTCTTGGACCTTCTAGCCCAGTCTCCTGATGGGGTGGTGGACCTCAACTGGGCCTCGCAGGTCCTGGAAGTGCAGAAGAGGCGCATCTATGACATCACCAATGTCCTAGAGGGTATCCAGCTCATCTCCAAGAAATCAAAGAACAACATACAATGGCTGTAAGTCTGAACTCTTATACTGTACATGCAGTATGACAATATCAAAAGTGTGTTCTGGCCTTTCTGGCTTACAATCCTTATTGTGCTGGCCTCTACATATATGAGTGAATGCATACATCAGTGATTCCACAGGATATTTGTATTAGAAACACTTCTTTCCATTATCCTAACTATGAGGTCATTCTGTTTGTCACAGGGGGAACCACATTGATGGAGCGTCTGTTTCCCGTTACCAGGACCTACAGAAAGAGGTCTCTGATTTGACACAGGCGGAGGAGAAACTGGATGAGCTCATTACCAAGTGTAACCTCCAGCTGAGACTCCTCACTGAGGATACCCAGAACAAGAAATATCCTCTTGTCTTGTCTCTCTGTTTGTGTGTGTGTGCTTTTTGTATCTACTGTATGTGTTTGAATATGCATTTATAGGGCAGTGTTTTTTCTTTAACATAATGGCACGCTGGGTTATGTGATGTGCCAGGATCTGCGGAAGTCTTTTGACTCTCCTGACCAGCTGGTGATGGTCATCAGAGCCCCTCCAGAGACCGAGATGCAAGTCTCAGAGCCCTGTGAGGTATGTGGGAGGGTAAAATAACAATGGACGCTTGCTCAATACAATTTTCTGGACCAAATACTGTATTCCAGCTAATGTGGTTTACACTCCAACTCCAACTATTGATTTGTGTCCTTTGTTTCAATAAATTATTCCTTTCATCTTCTGGCAGGGCTATCAGGTCTCCCTGAAGAGCACTCAGGGTCCCATCGACGTCTTCCTGTGTCCAGAGGACAGTTCTGGTGTCTGCAGCCCAGTGACAGGCATCAGCCCCTCTAAAGCCACAGACCAGACAATGCCCCAGCCTGCAGAACAACCACAGTGCAGCTCCACACAGGAAATTACATCAGCAGCTGTGTCCCAACAGAACTCCTCCTCTCTGCCATTATGTCGTGAAGCGGGTAAGCTGCTCTCACTAGTGTCACACTGTCACCCTGAGGTTCAGGAATGTCTGAGATTTCTCCAAGAAATCCATGAACACTCCTCAATGGCTATTTGCTGTGGTCACTAAAAGTGCGTTCCCTTTCTTTCTGTCTCTTTCAGAAGCATTCCTGGAAGGCGACCCATTCCCCAACCTGGGAGTGCTGCCGGACTTTGACCTTTCACCCCTGCCATCCTCTGACTTCCTCAGTGGGGAGTGCTTTGGGAACCCACTGGATGGCTTCATCAACCTGTCCCCTCCACAGAACCAAGACTACCACTTTGGCCTAGAGGAGCACGAGGGCATCAGCGAACTGTTTGACTGTGACTTTGGGGACCTGACCCCACTGGAGTTCTGAGAATGTGGTGGAATGGAACAACCACAGAATTAGAATGAGGTTCTGTTTCTATGGGAACACCCCATACCATCTCAGAACAAAGAAGCATACCCAAGTGGTTAAAATACAGAATTGTACAGCACAGACCGTACTAGCACTTAAGTTGCCTAGCAAAATACTTTAGCTTTAGATGGCTATTTAATTTATTTATATACAAATAATGTTTTTGTACAGAGTGTTTTTTTGTTTTGTTTTCTAAGTGGTTTGTGCAGGTGTATTCTTGGGATATGGATGTGATTATCAGCTGGAATATTAGCATGTAAAGCTAATACTGAATTTGTTATATTAGTTAGGCATTTTAGCCATAGTCTCAGGTGTAAGGAACAGTCAGACTTTTACAGTAAGAGTTGGGTTTCAGATGCATTTTAAGAAGTCATACAATATGTTGGCCAATGGCAATGGCAGGCTATACACTGAGTCTACAAACCATTAAGAACACCTGCTCTTTCCATGACCTAGACTGACCAGGTGAATCCAGGTTAAACCTATGGTCCTTTTTTGATGTCATTTGTTAAATCCACTTCAATCAGTGTAGGTTAAGGGGAGGAGAGGTTACAAAATTATGTTTAAGCCTTGAGACAATTGAGACATTGATTGTGTATGTGTGCCATTCAGAGGGTGAATGGGCAAGACAAAATATTTAAGTACCTTCTTGAACGGAGTATGGTAGTAGGTGGTAGGCACACCGGTTTGTATCAAGAACTGCAACGCTGCTGGGTTTTTCACGCTCAACAGTTTCCCGTGTGTATCAAGAATGGTCCACCACCCAAAGGACATCCAGCCAACTTGACACAACTGTGGGAAGCATTGGCGTCAACATGGGCCAGCATCCCTGCGGAATGCTTTCGACACCTTGTAGACTCCATGCACCGACGAATTGAGGCTGTTCTGAGGGCAAAGGGTGGGGTTAAACTCAATATTAGGAAGGTGTACCAAATGTTTGGTATACTCAGTGTATCTTCCCAAGGTTGTTTTATTTCCCCACATGGTGTTATTTATTTCGCTGACCTGTGGGTGACCTCTGACCTCTGACCTCTTAACAACCCTTCCATAAGATAATTACACACACACATTTAATGGTCAGACTGTCTCAGCCTTCAATTTGATTCTCTTGAAATGGCAGCTGAACTAATAATACTTTTTTAAATGTGATGTTTTGTTTATTTTGTCATTATCATGAACCTTGTCACAACTCTTTTCTGCAAGACTCATGTAGTGCCTTATAAAAAAGGGTTCATAAAAAAACAATCGGGATGTCTGGTGGATGGATTTAATTCAGGTGTATTGTTGTGTGTGTATAATTGAGGTGTTTATGAAAGTGTTAGCTTTGCATTTCTTAACAACCGCAAGTTGTGGATTACTACTATTTGGGGGCCATCAGGCTACTGTTGTTGACAATTCAGCCACTGTGTTAACAACGCGTAAGGGACACAAGGAAACTAACGCTGTAGTCAATTTCACATTGTTCAGCGCTTTGTTTTATAACGATGTTACAAGATTAACTTTTTCGCCACAAATTCAGTGGTTAAAAGAATGACTTGTACCAATCTAACAAGTGGTTTCTAGCATGTCCTTTGCATCAACTTTGTTTTTTAAAGAATAAAAATATTTTGATTTCACCCTACAAAAAAAACAAGTTCTGCTAAGAATAGGTATGTAAGCTAAAATATGACTCAAGTTCAGTGAGGCAAAGCAGAGGTACTGATAAGACATACTGTATATCCCAAGCATTCCTACATGTCTGCATAGCATGTCATACAGTGCATTCAGAAAGTATTCAGACCGCTTGACTTTTTCCACATTTTGTTACGTTACAGCCTTATTCTAAAATAGATTAAATACAAAATGTTCCTCATCAATCACACACAATACACCATAATGACAAAGCGAAAACAGGTCTTTAGAAATGTTTGCTAATTTATTAAAAATAAAAAAACAGAAATACCTTATTTACATAAGTATTCAGACCCTTTGCTTTGAGACTCGAACACAGGTACATCCTGTTTCCATTGATCATCCTTGAGATGTTTCTACAACTTGATTGGAGTCCACCTGTGGTAAATTCAATTGATTGGACATGATTTGGAAAGTCACACACCTGTCAATATAAGGTCCCACAGTTGACAGTGCATGTCAGAGCTAAAACCAAGCCATGAGGTTGAAGGAATTGTCCGTAGAGTGCCGAGACAGGATTGGGTCGAGGCACAGATCTGGGGAAGGGTACAAAAAAATGTCTGCAGCATCGAAGGTCCCCAAGAACACATTGGCCTCCATCAATCTTAAATGGAAGAAGTTTGGAATCACCAAGACTCTACGTAGAGCTGGCCGCCCGGCCAAACTGAGTAATCGGGGGAGAAGGGCCTTGGTCAGGGAGGTGACCAAGAACCCGATGGTCACTCTGACAGCGCTCCAGAGTTCCTCTGTGGAGATGGGAGAAGGGCCTTCCAGAAGGACAACCATCTCTGCAGCACTCCACAAATCAGGCCTTTATGGTAGAGTGGCCAGACAGAAGCCCCTCCTCAGTAAAAGGCACATGACAGCCTGCTTGGAGTTTGCCAAAAGGCACCTAAAGGACTCTCAGACCATGAGAAACAAGATTCTCTGGTCTGCTGAAATCAAGATTGAACTCTTTGGCCTGAATGCCAACCATCACATCTGGAGGAAACCTGGCGGATTTTCAGCGGCAGGGATTGGGAGACTAGTCAGGACTGAGGGAAAGATGAATGGAGCAAAGTACAGAGATCCTTGATGAAAACCTGTTCAGGACCTCCGACTGGGGCGAAGGTTCACCTTCCAACAGGACAGCGACCCTAAGCACACAGCCAAGACAATGCAGGAGTGGCTTCGGGACAAGTCTCTGAATGTCCTTGAGTGGCCCAGCCAGAGCCTAGACTTGAACCCGATCGAACATCTCTGGAGAGACCTGAAAATATCTGTGCAGCGAAGCTCCCCATCCAACCTGACAGAGCTTGAGAGGATCTGCAGAGAAGAATGGGAGAAACTCCCCAAATACAGGTGTGCCAAGCTTGTAGCGACATACCCAAGAAAACTCAAGGCTGTAATCGCTGCCAAAGGTGCTCCAACAATTGTTATTTTTAAAGCTGTTTTCGCTTTGTCATTATGGGGTATTGTGTGTAGATGGGGGAGGGGGGGGGGGGGGGATTTAATCCATTTTAGAATAAGGCTGTAACGTAACAAAGTGGAAAAAGTCAAGGGGTCTGCATACTTTCCGAATGCACAGTATATGTACATCAGTAACACGCAAGGCCTTGAGCAATGAAGAATGATGTCTCAAACATCGGTTGACTGTTATTTGTTAATTTTCTAGTGGAACAATGTCTCTTTCTGAGAGTTGATAATGATTATCCATGTGCAGTGCCTATTAACTTATGTTCTGCTATGCTATGTTGGTCCCCTGCCATTGTCCCCATCATGATTGTTATGATGAGTTTCTCGCGTATCAAGTAATTAATGATGCAAGAAGATATTTAATAGGTACCATGCTTCGCATAACAAACAGACAGTACTTTGCCTCTAGCTCTTCCGAACTTCTGAACAAAGAACATATCTCAGCTTATATAGCTTTGATTACACGTTTCTTCAACACATCTGTTAACCATCAGTGGGCACCCCCTTCTCTGATGTTATTCCCTTTTCCCCCAAGTCAGTATATCATATCCATCAATCATTCTACCATAAACATCAGTAATCTCCCATGACATAATGGAATGCAGACTCTGTGGCACCAAGTCACTTATCTACTAACTTTAACCTGGTTCACACAACACTATGAAAACCTCATAACAATCCTCCTTTTTTCTCTCTCTCTTTTGTGGAAAGTAACATTACTCAGATATAACATTACTTAACCCCAACAATTCACCTATAACTTGATATAAAATAACATGTTCTACATTCAGTAGTATAGATATACATGATTAGAGTCTAAACCATGCTACCAAAAAACATACATAGAAATAAATTCTTAACATCATGACATGTTGTGGAAAATCATCACTATACTTTATTAAAAATCAAAGTTCTTGTCAAGGGGTCAGTTTCCCGCTTCCTTTGTCTATGATGGCGGCTAAATTCGACTTTCATTCAGTTCAGAATCAATAGTAATACAATCAATCAATCCCTTATCTTGCAAAAACACTCATGTTTAGTTTAAACTCTGTTCAACCCCGGCTCTCCCTCCACTTTGTTTGAGGAGAGGGGCAAAAGGCCACAGTCTGGTTTCAGTCTCTGATAAGGTAGGACAGCCATGGATTTAAGTAAGAGCAAGCAATTCGACCCTAGGTCAGATTCCCACTTCACCCACACACACACAGTGAAATGACCCAATTAAGTTCCTGCCTAGCAACAGAGAATTCTAACTTACATGTTTGTGATTAACTCAGTTTTATCTCATAGTCCACTAAAAAATCTCCCTCAGACATCATCCCCACAAATACAAAGATACATGACACTTACTAAGTTACATGGATATTACAATATATTCAAATGAATATATCTAAATAAAAATAACTTCTTCATCCATGTTCATTCAGAGGAACCCCAAGCTTTTCTCTGGTCACTTGGGGCGCTATCTGATCGACTGAGGAAGTCGTAAACCTTAAAATCCACGTTATACATTTCCAGTTTAACATTCCCCATTCCTCAATCAACATTATCAATGGACTCTAAACTGGAATAAGATTATGTATATTAAAAATTATTACTCTTAATGCCTTCCTGCATGTCTCTAATATTTTCCATAGCTTTATTTAAATTCCCAAGACCTTCCTAATCTTGATGGCCAGCATGTACAACATGTATCCCCTATATAATCATATACATTCCCCCTCTATCTACTATAATAGCATCCAATGCTATGCAATTATCAATTGCATAGTCTAATGAGTGACATCTCAAATCCAATTTCTTGAAAACCCATGATTGTTAAAAGGTACCATGTT